CCCCCCCCCCCCCCAAACGCCACGGCCCCTGCCACAGGCTCAGGACTGTGGGTACCTCCAAAGTCGTCTAGGGGCCACATCTTTGCCCAAGCCACTGCCCAGCCCCACCCTGCCCTGCCGCACCCTCCTTGCCTGCCTGCCTGCTTCTGATTGATAGGGGCCGCGGCGCCTGTCAGGAGGTACTGCAGGGTGTGAGCCAGCAGAACAGGGCCTGAGTGGACTCGGAGTGGGGAGCGCAGGGGCCAGGGACCGCCAGGAATGGAGACATGGAGAGGACTTAGTTCTTAGCTGCGGGCGAGCATGGTGTAGCCCTTACTCCAGGGGACACAAGGCCAGCCCCAGGCCAGGCCCAAGAGCACTCGGTGGCAGTGCAGCAAGGCCAGCCCGCAGCCAAGGCCACCCTGCCCCCCAGCCCCCAATGCTCTGCCCACAGAGGCCCGAGGTCCCAGGGGCCAGCATGGTGTACTAGCCGTTAGTGTGTTGCTAAGAGAGCTACGTGGGACCGGGTGATGCATAGGGAGTGGAGGCTTATCTCCAAAACACCAGATTCTATGACTGGTCTGTCCGGGCATGGCAGTGGTGGGAGGCAGGCCTTGGGCTTGTGGAGCATGTCTGCTCCCGAGAGCTCCTCCCTGGTCTGGTCTCGGTCCCTCTCTCAAAGCCCCCAGAACTCAGAACGCCCTGCCCTGGGACACCACAGAGGCTTGTTCTTCCTTAACACATTTTCTCTCTCTTTTTTTTTTTTTTTAAAAAAAGAAGAATTATTTAACTTTATTTTATTTATTAATTTTTAAATTTGAACTGAGTGGGACAGAGTGAGAGACAGACAGAGACAGACAGAGAGAGATGGAAAGTGAAAAAGCAAGATGCCAGGTCTGGGACTCAAACCGTGGTAAGCCAGTGGGAGTCCAGTGCCCTGAACCACCATGCCACCTGCCAGCCCCTCTTAACCCCTTTTCAGTGCAGGCAGTACAACCAACTCCAGGAGGGCTCTGGGGGCGTCCAATCCCTGCCCACTAAGACCTAATTTCACAGTGCAAACTTTGGGGGACAAGCCATGATCCAAACCCTAAAAACTTGCTCCCACCCACACCCCTGGTCAGGCTGGCTCCTTGGGACCCTGGTACACCTTGATGTAGCCATCCCTAGCATCTGGCACCATGAGCTGGCCCCGGGGGCCCACAGGCCACACCCAAGGGCTGCCCCAGCCCCTCGAACACCAGGCAGATGAGTCACCCAGCCTGGGGAATAGGGTCACCCGGCACCTCTGCTTGTGGGCCACAATGACACTGCCTCTGAGTCGGAGCACATGCTTGGCCGGCTGCAAAAGGAGCAGCTCTGCAGGGAGCCCAGGGGCTGCCAGGCACTGCCGAATAGCCGTACGTCCCCAAACCCTGCACTCACAGCAAGGCCCCCGCTGGGCCCAGGGCCACCTTGCAGGACCTTCCAGGCCTCCCACTGAGGCCAGTCCCAGGACTCCAAGGCGGACCCAACTGAAGCTGTGCACAACCCCAGCATGTAGTCTGCCACCAGGAGGAGGCCAAGGGTGTCCACAGCCAGCCCTCTGGTGACAGGAAGGTATTCACAGTGACCCAGTGGCCCGGGGGTCCCAGACAGTGTGCTGGAGGGCACGGACAGGGTCGCTGACTACCACGAGCCCAGAAGCTGTCACGGCCACGTCCTCTGGAACAAAGGCCCCTGTCTCCGGCGTGCAGCAGGGCAGGTGGCAGATGAAGCATTTCCCCAGGTTCAACACGTGGGCACAGGCTGAGCCCCAGCCATCAGGAAGAGCCGTCTGAGGAGCAGGGCAGGCTGCAGGGACTCCCTATAGCCCCAGTGGGCACTGGGATCCATGTGACCAGCTGAGGCTGCCAGGCATGACCGGGGTCTCCAGGAGGGCCCAGTGTGCTGTGCAGACCTTGGGGTGTGGCCAGCCAGAGGAAGAAGCCCAGGAGGTCAGGGAGGCAGGAGCGGACAACATGCGGGCGCACTGCGGCCTCCTGGCACTCTGTGGGCAATGCTGGTGGTGCCGTCCTGTAAGACAGGCTGGCCTCAAGCCCAGCAGTCACCAGCCGTGCAGGTGCTGGGCTCCTTGTAGGTCTGCTTGGAGCCCCGATGAGCTCAGTAGGTGCTAGGAACGGAAGTGCCCCGAGACCCTTTCCTTCTGAGTGGTGGCTTCAGTCCCTGTGGTCACTCCAAGGCCTCAAGCCAGGCCCAGGGCAGGGAGATTTCTAAGCCCCTCAGGGTGGAGGCCAGGCCAGGCTCCCGGGCCCTGCAGCCTCTGTTGTTAGAAACTGGAGCCAGCAGGAAGGGAGGGGCCGCAGGGTGGTCCCCAGGGAAGTCCGTACACTCCGGCTTGGTCTTGGCTGCGAGGCCAGCGATCACAGCCACAGCCACATGGTAAGAACCAAACTGAGCCCAGGCTATTCCTGGCATGCGGCCTCCTGAGGGCCATGGTGGGCCACTCTTGCACTGTCTCCCACTGCCCTGCAGGGCCAGGGCAGGGGACCACTCCCAACAGTCCACTCTCAGCAAGACCCCCAGGCTCCTGAACCTTCCAACAATGTCCCCAGGGCCGGTTCCCAGAGGCAGGAGCCACCATCTGTGAGGTGACTGAGCCTTGGGGTCACCAGGAATCAGGGGGGCCTCTTCTGTCTGCTCCTATGAAGCTGGGGGTGCATCCCCCCGCAGAACCCAGTGGGGATGAGCAGTGGGTGCCATGGATGGGAGCCGAGGGGAGGGGCTCCCTCCCGCCTCCCCAGCCCTGCAGCCCTGGACAGTGCACCCAGCCTGGCCAGCCGGCACCCGGCTCTGGACACAGCCTGAGCGCCCTGCGGCCCGGTGAGCGGCTGATGCTATCACTGCCCGGACACGGGCAATGGGGCAGCTGTGGGTCCTGCTCAGACTGGCCCAGCCCAGCTCGGGGAGCCAGGGGCAGGCAGGAACTGTGCCTCCTAGGAGGGCAGCCTGGGCCCCAGCCGTTCCGGGTGGGCACGAGGTGGGCCCCCGCTCTCAGGAGGAGAAGCGATTTGCCGCGGCCAAGGCCCTGCCAGCCCCCCCCCCCCGCGCGCCCCCGTGGGGGGCAGGCAGCCGGCTGTGGAGGGCTGATGCTATCACCGGGCTGGCGGGGCCCAGTGGAGGCCACGCTGGGTGAGCAGCCCTGAGCCCCGGGGCGCAGGGGCACCTGCTCCCGGGAAGCTGCGGGCTGGATGCGGGTCCACAGGAGCTCGGGGTCCCTGTCCAGCTCTTGCACACTAAAGCCCAGGTCACGGCCCTGAGCCGCCCCAGACCACTCAGGCTGCTTCCCTGCCTGACCTTGCTCAGTGCCCTCCACGGCATGACCCCCAAGGCCCTGGCCCTCAGGAGACCCTGGCCCTCAGGAGGCCTAGGCTGGGAAGCTGCGGGCTGGATGCGGGTCCACAGGAGCTCGGGGTCCCTGTCCAGCTCTTGCACACTAAAGCCCAGGTCACGGCCCTGAGCCGCCCCAGACCACTCAGGCTGCTTCCCTGCCTGACCTTGCTCAGTGCCCTCCACGGCATGACCCCCAAGGCCCTGGCCCTCAGGAGACCCTGGCCCTCAGGAGGCCTAGGCTGGAGCTGTTTTCTCAGGGAGAGGCAGGTGGTCACGACAGGAAGGAAAGGCAGGAGCCAGGCAGCAGGTGGGTGGGCGGTGTCTTTAATCACGTCCCCTGTGGCCAACAGACAACCGCGCTCCCCGCTGTCTGGTGGCCTGAGAGACAAGCTGGCCGTGGGCTGGCCGGGGTCCAGCAGGAGCATGCTGAAGCCGGACAGGGTGGGGGCCGGGGGCGGGAGCCGAGGGTGCAGACAGCCGGCAGGGCCAGGGGTCAGGCCTCAGCACCGGGGGGGCTTTGTAGGACAGGGGCATCCTGAGGGGTCGGGGAGCCCCCAACCCCCATGCGGGTGACCCACCCGCTCCCAGGAATGACAGGGTCCCCCGAGGCCTGGAGGGGGAGGCCTGGGGGTGGGACACTGGAGTCGGCCTCGCACTTGGTGGTGCGGCCAGAGAAGGGCTCTGGTGCAGGGCCCAGCATGCTGGGCGGCTCAGGGGAGCCCTGGGCCACTGGGGGGTGCAGCGAAGGCTGCCTCCAGGTCCCCGCAGGCAGCAGGGGTCCCTGGGTAGGCACCCGCTTCACAGAGAGGTCCAGCGGTGTGTCCGGCGGCCTCACGGCCCGCTCCAGCGCCTGGTGAATAGCGAGCAGCTCCCTGCGGATCTGGCCCAGCTGCTCCCGCAGAGGCCGTGGGGCCGGGCCTGCGGACGGTGCCAGCTGCCCCAGACGTCGCTCCACTCTAGCATAGGCGCCCAGGGCCCGGGCCAGGTCCTCGCCCACATGCCCTGGGCTTCCCAACGTGGGCAGCTGCGGAAGACGGGGCCCCTCCAGGCCCAGGGTCTCGGGCTCGCAGGGCTCCTTGTCCTCGGGCCAGGGTATCATGGAGGAGCTGGCCGGCAGGCTGGGGGGAGAGGTGGGTTGGGGGGCTGCACCCCCTCCCCTGGAGCCCCCAGCCCCTGCCCCTCCCCTTACCCCAGGGAAAGTGGGGGCACCGCTGTGGCCTAGAACTGGGAGTCCAGGGGCAGGCAGCTCTCTGGTCTAGTCCCCTGGGATCTAGAGCCCACACTCCCAGGACTGAACTCAAGACAGGGCCATTCCCGGACCACCCTGACCCTCCACCCCAGGACCCAGGAGCTCCTAATACCCACCTGCTCTGGGAACCGCACTTTGCCAGGCTGGGGAGGGCCTTTGGGAGCTCTGGCCTGCTCCCCAGGGCCAGCATCCTTTTGGGGCTGCTCTGAGCTACCTGTTCCAGCTCCTCCTCCTGCCCTGGGTCCCTGGGGGTCCCGGGAGGCCAGGGCCCCCCAAGCCCTGGAACGGGCACCTTCAGCAGCCCAGGGACCAGAGTTCCAGTGGGCGCCTTCGGGGGCCCAGGTGGCTTGGTGGGGGCAGGTTTGCTTGTGGGCAGGCCCAGCGTGTGCTCCAGGAGCAGGGGGTAGTACAGGCGGGGGGCCAGGGCTGGGCGCTCCGGGGGCTGCGGGGCCGGGAAGGCTGCAGCCGGTGGCAGCAGGGGGCTGGCCGAGGCCAGGAAGGGCATGTGGGCCGTGGCAGCCAGCGAGGGCCCCAGGTAGGAGAAGAGGCCAGGGCCAAGTGGGTAGTTGACACCCAGCAGAGACAGGTGGAGATTCTGGGCATCAGGGAACTCACCCCGGGAGGGCGGGGGGTAACAAGGGACACTGCCCTCAGGACCTACTGAGGCCACATCCCCCGTGGTCACGCCCCTGGGGCCGGTGCTCGACCCTGGCTTCCACTGCTCGGTTAGGTGCCGGCTGGACCCTGGACCCTTCCCGGCAGCCCTGGCTACAGGGGGTGGTGGCCCTGGGGACCCCTCAGACCCAGGCTTGGGGCCCCCACCACAGTGGCGGAGGGAGAGGTCAGGCGTGGAAGCGGCCTCTGGGAGCCGTGCACCTTGGGTCTGGCTGCCCAGCCCGGAGGGCTCGGCACAGCGGTCAGGACTGGGTGTGCGGGGCCGGGGCGCAGCAGGGGCGCGGCGGCAGGCCCAGTCTGGGGAGTCGAGCAGCAGCGAGAGGGAGTCCTTGCAGAGGCTGTACTTCATGTGGTTGTAGAGGTGCGACTTCTCCAGGCAGGTGAAGGGGCACTGGAAGCACTTGTAGTTGTAGGGCTTGCCCCAGGGCCGGGGGATGTAGTGTGGCTTCTTGGGTTTCCGTGCCCGTGCCCTTGCCCCTGCACCCACACGGCACGAGCCTGCCTCCCGAGACATGGCGACTTGCTAGTGGGCCGGCCCAGACGCCATGGCCTCCTGCGGAGGGGAGCTACAGTCAGTGTGCCCCACCACACCTTGCATCGCGGGCACCCTCGCTCCCGAGAGAGAGCCAAGGACACCCTGCCTACCTCTGCCTGGTGGCCCCTCAGTTTGCATACCTGGCTCCATGACCCCACTATGAGCTTGCACGCCCAACCCTGTGGCACCCCCGGCTCGCACACCTGGCCCCTCGCCCCCCCGCAAGCTTGCACGCACTTTCCGGGCCACCAGACAGAAAAACAAATGTAAGACACCCGTGACAGCCTGAGTCCGACAAGCAGCGAGCTCCTCGCGTGGCGCGGGCCAGGCAGTGTCTGGGTGCACACCAGGCGGAGCTGGGCACCCTGTACCCCATCTCAGGCCCTAGGCAGATCACCCCACGGCCTGGCCAGAACACGGCCTGGTTCTGGGGGCAGCTCAGTCCATAGCTCTCTTCCACCTACAGCGGACGGGTGGGTCTCCATCTGGTGCCCACTCCCCAGGCCAGGCAGGCCCAAAACAGGAATTGGTGAGTGACCACCAGAAGTCAAGTGTGACCGGGGCTCCTGGCTACGGACCTTGGCCCCTCCTGACCTCCCTACCCTGCAGAGAGGCCGGTCCTTGCTGAGCTGCCTGCCAGGAAGCCGGAGCACTGACCACAGACAGCCGGCAAAAGGCTCTGGACATGTGAGCCACGTGTGAGAGTGAGCGCGGTGCATGAGTGTGTGAGTGTGCAGGCCCCCTCCAGAGAGGTCAGTGGGCGCCGGGGGACTCACGTGGGGCCAGGCCAGGCTGGGGGGAGTGGACGTCACAGCCTGGCCCCGTGGCACAGCCACCTGCTCAGCCCGGCTCCATCTGGGTGGCTCCAGGCAGGTCGGCGGCCGTGCCCACCGCAGCCAAGCTCAGCCAAGACCCTCTTGTCCCACGCCCCGCGTGTGCTCCGGAGCCACTCCGCGCTCCATCTGGGCTGCCACCTGGGCTGTCCACCGCCCCAGTGCTCACGCCTGCGTGGGGTGCGGGGCTTGTGTGTGCACATGGCCTTCGAGCGTGCACAGACGCTTACCCGGCTCCCAAGGAGCCCTCGCTCAGCACCGGGCGGACGGCCTTTGCATGGACTGGCTGCACCAGAGCCTGGGCAGGCACACACGCTGCATACCAGCACAGTGGGCACGGCACGTGTCCACAAGAGCACACAGCACACACATGTGTATACACAGCACATGCAGTCACCTTGCTCCCCAGGGCTTATGGAAGCCAGCGGGTGAGCGGGGCAGGGCTGGCAGGCGGCAGCCACAACACAGCCTCCCTGTGCTGGCCACCTCACCGCCCACAGGAGACCGTGACACCCGCAGCCCCCACACTGGGGGACCTCTGCTCAGGAAGTGCCCAGAGCGCAGAGAAGGCTGCGGCCCTGTGGAGGGGTCACACGCCACGGCCAGGTGTGGAGAGTGGGCCCCCAGGCTCACAGCTGTGTGGCCAGAGTGACTCTGGGGTTGGGAGAAGGGGCCCAGGGCTCCTGGGAGCTGCAGAACCAGCCTGAACCTGATAGTGGGTGCAGAGACAGCCCCTCTCCCTGCCCCCCAGATGTCGGTGACAAATAGGCGTGTGTGCTTGGGCGACAAGAGACGGCTGTGCGGGGCCATCGATCACCCAGCCCTGGGAGCCACACAGCTGTGCCACGGCCCTCCCCACCGCCCGGCCAGGACTGGGGGGCTCCTGCAAGTTCCCTCCTATTCCCCCCTTTGAATGAGGCGCGTGGGTCAGGGGACCTCCCCAGGAGCCATTTCAGCAACCACTGACCCCATGGGGACCCAGAGGGTGCCTGGCACTCAGCGGGCACGCCGGAACAGAGCAGAAGACTCCCCCAGACAGCAGCCGCACCCCCACACGCACTCTCCACCCCACCCCAGCCTGTGACAGCCCAGGTGCTGGAGTAGACCCTGCCCTACTGACCCCTCCCTGTCTGGGGAAGGGGTCGCCAGCAAGTCTCAACCCACCTGCCCTGCTGGCCCCAGGACAGGGGCTGCCCCCATCACTGGGTGCAGAGAACGAAACCAGGCTCCCCTGGGACTGTCTCCCAGGCCCCCTCCCCTACTCTGCCCAGCTGCCTCCCTCCCGCCAGCTGCTGCCGG